CTCTCATTAGACTTTAAAAATCCTTCTTGAGCTCTTCTAAGAAGGCTTTTTGGGCTTCAGACCAGTTCATATTCCCTTTTGATGTTGCAGATGTGGATTTGTTGACAATGTTGTTCTTTTCAGAATTTCTGTCTTGATCTTCACTCTTCTCATAATATGAATCTATGGTATGTTTCTTTTTACTCATGGTTTCTTTATTCCCTGGCCTTTAAAGAGATTGAGCTCTCCTGCTAGGGAACAGAGAGCACTGACCCATTCTTCTTGTGTTGGGAGCCTAGGTCTTGGTCACTGGCTTTGTGTGCTGGGGCCTCTTATGTTGGCAATTGGAGGCTGCAGGGTTTTGGCAGCTTACCTCGTGTTGGGCTGGAATCAGCAAGGCTGGAACTTTAGGAAGACTCTAGGTTGCTTTCTTCAGCTCCTTTCAGATGAATGCTGCAGGGTGCTTATCTGCCTGGGGCCCTTTGTAGTGCAGTTTCCCTTATTTTTGTTGAGGTGCTGTACTACTGTTCCCCATCTTTCTTCTAGTTCAGCTGTTCCAAGGCTTTTTTTCCTGGGGTGATATGTTCTGGGTTTTCAGAGGTTGATAGGGGAGGGTGAGAGCGATTACCTTTTTACTCCCCTATCTTGGCTTCCGGAAGCGGAAGTCTCTCTCAGTACATTTTCTTAGATCCTGTCTCCGCCAATTTTCTACTATTTTTGCAACATTTGGAAAACAGCAAATATAAATGAGCCTTAAAAATACAGCAACTTTTGATTATTACATAATAGGGTTTATTTCTTATTTTTAGATAATTCCATCTGTTTTAATATCAATGATTGAGGAGAAGACATTTGTTTAAATAAACTAAGAATGGTTTTATTTAACCATCTGGAGGAATATACTTTGTGTGAGATTGGAAGGTGGAATTGGGGGGCAGTGTAGAATCTTGTTTGCAGAGTATCTGTGGCAAAACAAAATATATTACTATCTTTAAAAAAGTAAAAATGAGAAATGAGAACAGTGATGGCAGAGAGTGAATGAGAAGTGCGAACACACATAGTTAGGAGTAGGGAAAGCAAGAAAGGAGTAAGAAGGAAGGGGCAACTATGAGAACTAAGCTTAATAGCGAACACTCCCTTCCTTAGCTAGACAGTGTGGGATAGTAACAAAATTCATCAAAATATATAAACAAACAGGCCAATAAGGTTTTCTAATAGGAGACAAACAAATCTATTAGCTGTTATTGCTACTAGTAATCTGAATCTGGCAATTCATTTATGTTCTAGGAGATCTAAGCTATTGTGAACATGGATGGAAAGGGAGAAATTAGAGGGGAGAAGATCAGTAGTGGCTTATCATGAAATACTATCCATACTGTTTATTAATGAATATAATCATATCTTTACTTCAGAAAAGGATGGGGAGAGAGAATGATTAGAGATAGATGAAAGTCATTTTTCTCCCAGGTTCTCCCTGCCTTTAAACAGTGATTTATAATTTGATTCAGTTCAGTGGTTTTCAAATGTTTTTCCTCCAGGGTGCTCGTGTTTATCATCTGACTGAATTTTACAGAGTTTTAACAGCTTCCTCTGTTGTCGTTCCATTTTTCCTTTTCTTGGCTGTCTCATAATCAGTGTTTATTTGCTTTCACAATGCCCCCTACAGATCTCTGCTCCTTATCGCTCTCTACCTCTGCAGTTTGTCATATATCCTACTCCAGTTTCTGACTCCACTGTATAATGTCTTTAAGACTTGAACTCTGTCTACAACATGAGGTACTTGGATTATATGTCACAAAATCTGGACTCTTTCAGGCCACTGTAAATACAGTATAGATTATTTTTCTTAACAGCACATCTTTGATAAGTGAAGAAATTTTCATTCACTTCATAATGGTATAAACTTTTCTAATCTTACCATTTTAGTCAGCCAGCCCTTTGAAGACTGATAGGAAGTCTGTTATAAAGACCCCAGACTCAATTCAGAATTCAGCCCGAGACTGGGCTCACTGAATTACCCAAACAAGAGTTAGCTGGGTAATTATGAAATCACAGTTGTGGAATGAAGGAAGAGATACCTTTATTGTCGATTCTTGTGAGAAGCAGGTGTGTATGTTCCCTCATGGGACCCACAAACACACAGTACAGAAGCAGAACAAGCAGCTTTATAGGATAATTTGGCCTTAACTCCCACCTTGTCCCACCCCACCTTTCATCCTGTTTTGCACATTCCTGCATGTCTTGTGTAACACCTGTGTTTGCAATATTTGTTGTTCCTATAGAGTCTGTGAAAGTCAGTCTCTTCTCCTCATCCTGTTTGCACATTCCTGCATGTCCTGTGTTCCTATAGAATCTGTGGGAACCAACCTGTTAGCATTTCTCACAAGCCCATGGTATTAAAAATTTTTTTTTATTTTTAGGCAGTTGGGGTTAAGTGACTTGCCCAGGGTCACACAGCTAGTAAGTGTCAAGTGTTCGCTCTGCGACTGGATTTGAACTCAGGTCCTCCTTGCTCCAGGGCTGGTGCTTTATCCACTGCGCCACCTAGCTGCCCCCCCATGGTATTTAAAATTATATTTTAAAAGATTTACTATTAACCATTGTACGATCTCTCTACTTTTTCTTTCTCACTGGTTTTAATCTTGTTTATAGTATTAGACCTCTCCTAGCACTTTTATATCAAGGCACTTATATAATTAAAAGAATGTGACACTTTTTAAAAAATTTTAATTAATTTTTAACTTTCAACATTCTCTTTTATAAGATTTTGACTTCTAAATTCCCCATCCCCCCCACCCAAGATGGCATGCAATCTGATATAGGCTATACATATACAGTCATATTAAACACATCAGTCATGTTGTGAAAGAAGAATCAGAAAAAAAGAGAAAAATCACCAGAAAGAAAAAACAACAGAAAAAAAGAAAATAGTATGCTTCAATCTGCATTTAGACTCCATAGTTCTTTCTCTGGGTGTGGATAGCATTTTCTATCATGAATCTTTTGGAGTTGTCTTAGATCAAATATGGTACTTTCTAATCAGAAAACACCATTGCAAAATGAAAGAGAGAACATGACATATTTGTGTTTAGTACTTTTTCTTTGTTTAAATCACTGGTGAAATACTTAAATTTTTAAAGGGATATTAAATTATTTCATCTCTTTGAGTATATATAACTAATATTTTTGAGGTTGCTGCTGTTTACCCTTGCTTTAGGGAGAGGCCCTGTGAAAACGTATTTACTTTGGAATATTTTCATTGTAACAGACCTTTTCTTCGAAGGGAAATATGGAAATGAGAGCTTGCTATTCGAGGAAAAAGTAAATTACTCATATCATCATAGTCCTATTGTATTATTTTGGCTTTTACTAATTAATTTCTTTTCCTTTTGGCTATATTAATTTAAGATGATTCAAATACCGACTCCCAGGAGTCATATTGATGTTAAAGATGAAGAAAAAGTTGGGGATTCTTTATATTATGTCATTAAATTCCAGTATTGTGGACCATTTGTGATACAAACAGCAGCATAGATGGCTACAGGATCATAGATTATTCTTAACCTTTTTTTTTTTAATCTAGACAGAAGAGTTAAGAAAGAAGGTTAAGGCTAAGATACAAGCCTATGTTTCCATGATATTTTCTCTTTTATCAGATAGGAGGTAACATAGAAATTAAGAGGTAATGCATCTACAATAGAGTATTTGGAAGTAGCAGAGCCATTGTCCATACTCAGCACTTTGTGAAATACCATTTTTAAATGACATTTTTGTACAAAACAAATCTGAAATGTAAGTTATTTTTAGTTGGCTAACCTGGATCTTATATCATCTGGTTTTCTAAGGGAAAATCACAAGGAACACTTTAAAAAAAGTTAGATTTTTTTTTTTGCATATTATGTAAAAGGAAATCCAATCTGAAAGATTTCTGTATCCATGTGTTTTTTTTTTTAACCTGTGTTTAATCAAAAGAGTCATCTTAAGGGACTGGTAGGATGATTTGTCACAATGCCTGTTTTATACTTGGTGCTGCTTTTAAATATTGTGCATGGTTTGACTTATACATAGTTTATATTGACTCAATTTCAGCTAGAAAACTAAAAATGAGTATTGGAGATCTGTCTTTTTCTTGAAATGTAGAAATTTGGAATAAATTAGTAGAATATTTTGTGACATGTAGGTTTTAGCCTTCAAGGTATTCAGTTGAATTCTCTCCTATTATCTTAAAAGCACTTTCTTCATGTTTTGGTATTAAGCATCTTTGCCCTTTAAAAAGTAAATGACTAAATTCTTTGAGAGTGAGTTGTTTTATACCAAGGACTGAAAATAAATTTATTTCATTAGTAGTGTATTTTCAAGTGTGGGTCCATTAGGTACAATTCTAGGTCTTGACAATATAAGTTGCAAAAACTTTGCTTTTAGATAGATTTGACTAGAGTTTAATTCCACAGCGTTGCCCCATAATTAATATGAACTTTAATTCCATGTTTCAGAATTTCCCATTATATTTCAGGTGTAAACTTGTCAATCACAACATTTATTTATTTGTTTATTTATTTAACAAAATTCATTGAGCAACCTACTCTTTGCTCAGCTGTGTACTGTCTTACAGGTAGGATGAGTTCAAAATTCTAGTCTATTTTGAATTTAGCTAAATGTACAGGTATCCTTCTGGGTTTGTGGTAGTTGGCGAATTTGGAGCAGGATATATTTGCTTCCTTTGATCATACTTTTGTATAGAAAAGAAAGCACTGGAAGTTTGGTGATGTTAGCAAAACAATCTTATCTTTTTGTTCTTAAACTTAAAAATTAGGTTTTATGAGTGTACCTTAGGTAAGATTTATTTTACATGAAAATTTTGAAAGAAACTAAAAAAATCAGCTTAAGTTCATGGCAATAAAATTTATCTCCTTGGAGTTCAGTCTTATCCTTGGTCCCTGATACCAAGGGACTCAGGAGTTGAAAAATCTAAATAACATTCAGTTCCTTTAGTGAAAATAACATATGTTCTTCTTTATTAGAAATTTATTGAATTTGAAGATTCCCAAGAACAGGAAAAAAAGGACTTACAAACTCGAGTGGAATCCTTAGAGTCCCAAACAAGACAACTTGAACTCAAAGCAAAAAACTATGCTGACCAGAGTAAGTAAAAATACCACTCCTCATAAGTACACTGTCAGAAGTGGGTTCTAATAACACTGTGACTCATCCTGGCGTTTGACTATGTTTTTACGTATGTTCTCCAGATGGACAATTCTAACTAAGGTTTGCAAGATCAGAAAACCAAATGTAGCCTCTGCTTTATATTTTAATTTTGTGCTCATGGCTGCAGTTGTGACAAAATTGAAGAGACTGTTGCTTTTCAGCAGTTTTGTCATTAATTGTTGACTTTTTTTGTTCAAGGTCATATTGTGCTATTCTTATCACTTGCTATTTTTTTGAACTTTTCAGGATTTCATGAATAAGAGAAAAATCACTTGGATCATTTCTTCTGAGATAGGTTAAGTTCATAGGTTCTGCTTCATTCTAAATTTCCTTGAAACTGAAAAAGAAAGTTTTTGGTTTTGAGATTTTGACCCATTTTCCAAGCATCCATAATACAGAATCTCAACTTCTGAATTGTTGTATTTCCTTTTAATACAAAAATTTCCAAGGATAGATAGCAGTAGGGGACAGAATTGATAGGTGACTTACGAATTTTATTCCAGATGTCACAGTGATAAATGTAGCAGGTAAGTAATTTGTCCCTCTTTGAAGCAGTAGGAGTGAATGAATGAATCCTCATGTATTCCTTCTGCTTCATGTAAAGAGGTATTTCACTCATTAAAAGAAAGAACTGGTAGAAAAATTTACAAACTTGTTTCATGCCTGAAACAGGTGGTCAAAAGTTAGACAGAACTACAGAATCCTGAATCATAACATTTTGCTTTCCTTTTCTTTCTGTGACTTTATCCTTCTTCATCACCTGTTTGTTTCCCTTTTCCCTCTCTCTGTCCCTTAACTGGTTACAGAGGGAAATACACATATTTCAAAGTACTTGTTATAGCTATTGAATAACATTTTTATGTTTCCCTTTATTTTAAAATTGCTTTGGTTTAATCTTTTACCTTTTTTTTTGATAATTTGTTTATTTTTAGTTTTCAACATTCACTTCTGTAAGATTTTGAGTTTTAAATTTTCTCCCCCTCCCACTTCTTTTCCTCCCCTAAAGACCGAGCTTAATCTGTTAATCATTTACTTTTGAGGAGGAAAAAAAATCTCACAATCCCTCACCTCTCCCTATCTACAAGATTTTTGATATATGATGAAATAATAATTTAGTACAATCTACATAGTACTTTCCTTGAAGCAAACCTGTGAGAAGTAAAGTAGTTTGGAAGGTATCCCCATTTTACAAATTTGGAAACTGAGGCTCAGAAGTTGTGATTTACCCACTGTTGACATAGCTTAGAAAGTTTTCTGACTCAAAGTTTATTATTCTCCTATATTTAACTGCCTCTCATCTACCCCATCTCTTAACAAAGAATCCTCACCTCTGCTTTGGAATAGCAGTTTGATGTCAGATTTCAAGCTATATCTTGATTGAAAAAGAAAATACTAATTTAAAAAAATTAAATGTATTTCTAGGAACTTAATTGAACTCTATAAAATTTCTCTAGACCATATAAGAATTGAGATAGGGACTGGATTTGTGTTTCTTGATATAGGGAGCTTGTTCTACTAGTGCTGATTGGTACCTTCTCTGCAACTTGTAATTTTGGAGAGCTATCTAGAGCACTTACAGGTGAAATGACTTGCCCAGGGTCACAGCCAGGATGTATCACTCTTTTATAGGAAATAATGTAAGTGATCTATTCAGACTTCTGGTTCTGTGAGCTCTCAGTTTGAATATTCCCTCCAATTTTGCAGATTGCAACCCATCCATGCCTTGCCATCTGCGTGGCTTTTGTCCATATGCTCCTATAATTTTGACAGAAGATCTAGGCTTACCATTCTGGGGAGGATCTTTCTTGCTTTCTCAAAAAATGACAGTGATACCAATGGATCCTTCAGACTGTCCACCTGTTATCTGTCCTTTACTTTCTCAATCTTTGACCAGCCCATTTTCTTTTTTGATTTTTCTTTTATTCTGGTTTTTCTTTGAAGTTTATATATTTCAGGCCACTCATACCCTTCATACCATATATTGAACTCTAAGCTTAGAATCCAAGTTGAAGAAGAGTTTATTTTGGTGAGATTCTCCAGATGGTCCTGTTTGTGGATGACATCCTGGAACTACTGCAGAGCTTCCTAGAAGAGATATTATAACTTAAGAATTTGGTTCAATAATCCTCATAGGAAAAACCAAAAGAATGAGCTGAAGGATGTCTTCTGCAGCTTATCGCATGCAGTTAGATGGATAACTTGTAGAGTTCATCTGTATCTATATCTTGGACAGATAGTATAAATTGCACAATGAATTGGGTCCAGAATTAAATGAGAGAGAAGTAGCAAGATGTTGTTGCCACTGGGAAATTGGAAAACTCCTTTAATGATCCCAAACTTCTCCCAGAAACAAAGGCCCATCTTTAAAACAATTTTCTGTGCTTTTAAATTTTCTTAATTCTGGTGTGTATATGTGTGTGTGTGTGTGTGTTTTAAAGGACTTAGTATTCCTGACCTATAGATGTTTCTTCACATAATTGAAACCTAACATCTTATTATTACAAAGTGGTGGTCCATTCTACAGTACCATTACTGTACTAGCAACGACTTTTTTGTTTATGGGTTGTTTCCTGAGTGTTACTGGTCTCTGTAGTGCTTTGTTAGCTAATTTACAGATTGTGGTAACCATGCTATTGATATATCATTATTTGGTCATGTACTTTTAAGACTGTAGTTTCTCTTTCCTCTAATCTATCCTTCATACAGCTGCTAAAATAATGTTTTCTACAGCATTGTTCTGACCATGTCTCTCCCTTGCTTAAGAATGGCTCCTGTTACCCCTTGGATAAAATGAAAAGTCTTCAGCTTGGTGTTTAAAGCTCTATGTTGTCTTACTTCAGCCTCTGTCTCTCACTCCCCCTTCCCCTCATGAGACAATTATTAATTTCCTCTTCTGCAGAAGATATGCTTATAGCAAAAAAGACTAGCAATTATGCACTGATAAATACTTAAAGCTTCATGCAGTAAACCCATTATTCCAATTATACTCTCTGGGGAAATTTCCATTTAAAATATTAAAACATGAAACACTTTGGGCTGCTGAACAGGCATTTCGCCTTCACCTCAGCTCCACATTACTTAAGCAAATCAGTGTACATATCTTTTGCAAGGCTAGGTTATGGGTTGGTTGTCATCTTTTCTTCTGAAAAGATGTGTCAGGGATAACTTCCTGCATGGCACCTAGTACGGGGACCTATGGCTTTCCTGACCTTTCAAACTCATGAGGTCTCTGCCAAGGCTGGGATCTCTGTTGGGTTATCTCTAATCAAGGAAAAAACACAAAGCAAAAGAGGAGCCAAAAATTTGAATTCCAGTTTTAGGCTTGTCTAGGACAGCATATGCTTATACATTTGCCATTGCTTCTGTGGGTGGGGAGAAGAGCAACATTCTTCCTTGCCCCAACCCCCCAAAACGGGAGCATGAAGGAAAGCTTGAAAATTTAGAGTGCCCTGCCTACCTTTCCAGATATATTTCATATTACTTAGCTTCTTGCCCTCTCTTACAGTCAAATTGGTTTGGTTTACCTGCTTACCTCCAACTCTAGTATTACATATGCCTCTGTGCCTTTGAATTGGCCATTGCTCATGGCTGGAATTTACTCACTCCTCACTTCTACCTCTTAGACTTCTGGCTTCCTTCATGGAACTGTTCTGGTGCCTCCTCCTGCATGAATCTTTTCCTAATGCCTCTAGTTGTTAGTATTCTCTCCATCTTCAAATTGTAATTACTTACTTGTGTATGTGAGATATCTTCTCAATAGAATAAAAGCTCTTTGAAGGCAGATACTGTTTTCATTTTGTCTTTGTATTCTCAGCACCTAATACGCTACGTTATATGTAGTAAGTACTTAATAAATGCATATTGAATTTATGTATCAATATAACCATTCCTTTCCTTTCACATAATCAGCAGTTATTTTTATATTTGTACCCATCTTTATTAGCCCTTAATCATAAAAGACTGACATTCTCATTAATATATCTTGTGGCACATTTCCTTTTGAAAAGTTCTCTAAGCTAGCCACAGTGGAATTTCAAATTCTCCCCTAACGGCTACTTCTGCATTCAAAAAGGAGAAATCTAGGCTACAGGTATTGGTTACTTGAAACTAAAGTAAAAAAAAAAAAAGAAAATAAGACTAGAATAGGAACTGAATTAGATACATTTATCACATTTTACCTTGGCAAGTGGATAACAATATAATTTGATGCAGATGTTGATAGGATGACTTCATGTATTTGTTAGAATTTATGTGTTTGAGGAGTTAAATTTTAAATTTGTAATTGCCATCTTAGTTTCCATTTTAGTTGAGTTAGAGGGGAGAGGAGGTGGGTTTTGGTCTTAACTTGCATAATAGGAAATTGTCTTATATCACTGCTTTGTATTTCTTGAAAATTCCAATTAGTAGCTAACTTCCATTAAATCTTGGGGAGGTCTCTGGAGCATATTTGATATAGAAGAGGAAGCTGGTTGAAAACTCACTTCATTATGAAAACGGTTTGAAACCATCTTTGTCACTTTTACTGGAACTGAAGAGGGTACTTTATTAGAAAATAATTTTTATTTTCAGTGGTTTTTTGAATGTGAATGAGTACTGATTTTTAAAATAAATTCTGCTCCAAATCAGACTAAAACATATATTTGTTTTAATTCAATTCAATTTCTTTTTTTCTTTTTCTTTTTTTTTAACTTTAAAAAAAATAATTTATTTTGATTTATCAACAATCACTTCTATATGCTTTTGAGTTTAAAATTTTTCTCCCCCTCCCTCCCCACCTCCTTTCCCAAGATGGCTCACAATCTGATGTAGGCTATACGTGTACATTCCTATTAAACATATTTTCACATTAGTGATGTAAGTAAGATCAATTTCTTGTGTACTGATAATGTGCCTAGGTGCCGTGGTGATACAAAATAAATATATGAGATGATATCTGC